GAGAATGTATCAAGTCCACTGTCAGATGCTGGGAATCAAGAAAACTACTATGGCAGACGACTTCGGACTCTGTGCGTTCTACATAGTCTCCCTAAACACAAAACCAAGTTGCGACAACGAGATAACCCACTTTATTTGAAAGTTTAGTTTAATTGATGAGGCCCAATGACTTATCTGTACAGCTATACATTCAGACTTAACTCATTACTCGACCATAATATTTTCCTTTCAATTTTTCTCAATAGGATAACTGTTATACTAATACTTTATTCTATTACTTGCTTTGATTAATAATCTATCCAATGGTTTCATTTTAGAATCTAAATTAACTAAGAGAAAATTAAAGTGTATTTTTAACTGTCATTTTTAGTTTGCGCAAATCATGAGTAAAAAGCATTCCTCGCATAAATTTATGTTTGATATTGATTGCTAAATAATATCTGCCCCTCGGATTGAAGTTTTCTAGAGTTATCAGTTAATTTAGAAAAATCCCTTTCGGGATTAGTAGAGGAATAAATTATGTATAAAAAACATATTTGAACGAAGTTGCTCAGTTAAATACAAACAATTTAAAAAAATCTTTGTAAATTGGCTGTATTTTTGCTTAACTTAGTAGGTTTACACCGTTATTTAAGCATATTAAATCAGAAGCTGAAAACTTGATTAAACACCTAGTGGAGCTTTGCTTTCAAATATCTAAAAACTATATCCTATCTTCTATTGTATTCGATTTTATTGTTCTTCTGAGCTATTTTCTTAAGTTGGAATAACACTAGCCTTTTTATTTTTAATTGCACATAAGTTAGAGCCATTTCAAATTGTCATATGTAATATCCTAGATGTAGCTATGCTTGAAAATTCTTTTCGAATAGCATGACACCTTCCAAGGTACGAAAGTAACAATCCCCTAATCTACCTTATACGGTTATCTATTATTTATACTTCTGTGAAAAAATTACTTTTAGCGACCTCGCATCAAACAGCCCTTTTTATAGTAATTGTTTTTATTTTCTTTAAACAGTATTGCGGTAATTATTTAACATTATATATATACAAGTGTTACTTCCAGTATAACTATTCCGATAGTATTAGTTAAAAAAATGCATGTTCATAAGGGTAACTCAATACACAAATCCTACTGAGCCTCAGAGTTTATTTTATGCTGCGAGCCTTGATATATTCTATTCTTGGCGTCATTGAGGCGTAATCAATTGCCTATATCACATGCCAAAGGACAATTCAAAAAATACTTGTGGACGTTTGAGAAAAGTGTTTAGCAAGGAATACTGTAATCTATGATAAGTTGATGTCTAAATGTAATGCGAAAGGATTGAATAGTCATATTATTTGTCTTTGACAAATTTAAGTGGACAAAACTTTCCTCCAACTACTGAAATGTAAAAGGCTACATAGCATAAAGTAAGAATCTTTATGAATTGATAGAATTTAATCAGCACTTTAATTTAGTACCTGGATAAAAAGTTAATGGTACGTAGGAGTAAAAATGGCCCAGATAGTACGAAGCATACCAATCAGTAATGGCCCCGAAAGGAGAATAAACTAAAGTGTTTTACAAATTCGCTTCTAAACAGACAGGCAAATCAATTCCGAATTGTGATTAGTATTTTACAATGACAAGTATTTTGGGATTTTTGACTAAATTTAGCATCTTGAGTTTTGCCTTCAAGTTAGATTCATAGTCATCAGGCCAAATAATTAGAGGCAGTGCCCCAAATAGTGCAATGCCTTAAATCGATTTTGACCAATAAGACAATGGGACATCATGTAGACCCATCCTCCACCCACTTTTATTTTACTTAATCGTGGGCGCATTTCTGCATTTAAAGCTGAAGTAAGCTTGCGATTAATAAAACGAATCTATTTCATAGAAAATAAGCCTTAAATGAAACTATTAACTGATTTCTCAGGCTCTTTTATTGTCATTGTGGATCCTGTTACAAATTTTACTTCCAAAAGAGCAGAGACTCATTTTCAATTTTTTAAACTTTTTATAGATACAATTTTTGGTGAGCTATAGTGGATTTTCAGCTTAGAACTTAGCTAACATCAACATGTCTTGTGAAATGAATATGAGATAAAGCGAGTACATGCTGTGGGTATTTCAGGAGTTATTTGTTTGTTAAATTAGTGTGCTTTTGGGGCTGGCTCATAAACTTTGAAATATGCCATATTCACTTGTCTTACTATGAGATGATTGAAAATTTACTCGCTTTGGTGAGCATAAACTAGTTGTTTCAAAGTTATATCGTGTTGAAGGCAAGCAAATATTGTGTAAATTGTCGTTTGCACCAGACCTCCCGCTTATGCAACTAAAAATGGAGGCTTGTAACGAAAACGTAACTCGATTTTTCCTCATAAAATTATTATTTACTTTAATTGTCTTAAATAAACTACCATAATACTGAAGTAGAAAAGAAAATTACTTTTGATACGAGCAAGATAGCACTTCTGAGTTAGTTTAACCTAACGATAATTTTTACGAGAAGGCCGATTCCCAGAAGGTTCCTCATTTTTCATTCTGTCTACTTTTGATACAAACCGGGATTATCATACCCTTCCTTTGTCATTTACAAATTGGGAGAGTAACAGGATTTCATTATATCATGATATATCGGTGTTGGCTTTACTTTAATTTAATGCGAAATGTTAATGTGAAATGGGCAGATCGATCTCCATAGATGTATTACTCTCTTTTGTTTGTAGGTAATACTGAATCAATCAGATTTTCCTAGATCTTGAGGCAGCCTCATTCGGTCAGGTTGAAAATGTACTGGACTATCGTTCCTCTCTTTCCAGTCTAATAAGGTAATTCATCACCACAAAGAAGTCACTTTCGTTGAAGTATATACAACATGAGATAGTATGCAGTTAGTATTCCTGACTAGTTTTTAACTCTGATGTATCATACGTATGACGTCTAGTACTGATGATGTCTACCACAAAACAGGAATATGTTCCTCTCATTTATCAGACCTAAAGTAAGCTGTTTAGATGACTACGTAAGCCTCACCGTAAGGCATAGTTAAGGGAATCTGCAGACAACTCCTGATGAAATTGACCTTGCAGTCGCTTAAATAATTTCACCTGAATAAAATAAAATGTATTGTAAGCACGCAAAGTTCATTAATTATAATAAAGAATAAGTAGGTTCCTTTTTAATGAATCTGATTATAATAGCTCTTAAATTGTTAATAAAATCTAATCCACATTTTTTTCGACAATACCAAATATATTATTGACAGCTTAGCACTTTAGTAAATTGTAAAAGAAATCCAAAGCCTGAGGCAGGATGTTAGAGTTTACATTTTAACTTCGTATAATGGTCTTGCTCTCCTGCTAGCACAGGTGTGCATGAATAAAATATGAATGTATGAATCGCTAACTCGAATTAGCTATAATCGAATTTCCAAACTGCTTTGAAAGAAAAAATAAACACTTACGAATAGTGTTTTATTTTCTGATATAGTGGCATATCACAAACAGTCTGAACAATAATGGGAGCATTTAATTCTGGGGTATTGTTCTATCTCTCTGTCCTATTAATGCATAGGTTTGCCAAGTAGAAGCTTTGCTGGGATTCATTCTCTCACTTCGGTGTATGACTAATGCAAACTCATTTTATTTACTACATAAATTGGATATAAGGAAAACTATATGCATTTTTCCATGTTGTTTCATTCCTTTCTGCTTTCATCTCTTTGGGCATGCTATCAGTTCAGGTACAGCTCCATGTTTCATTCAGCAACGATAATGTAGGATCCAGTGGCAATCTTATAGCCTATCAAGATATTTGAAAGGATGCCTGAAATTCATCCAAAAATGAGGTCGATTACAATTCATTTAATTACGATCAAAGGTTTAGTTTCCGAAATGGTAAAGCAAGTCTCAAGTCCAGATACAGGAATGGCGGCCTCAGCAGATCTCTTTAATTTTTATACTTTCACACGCGTTGAGAAAATTGTAGGGACATTCAAGGTCGATTGATAAAGTTAGGAAAAGAGAAGAACCAGTAAAAGAGTATGCTTTCAATGGCATAAACGAAAAGACACCATAAAATTTCGTACTAATGAAGCCAACTGAATTATACTAATAAATAATTGCAAATAAATGAATCGTTTGAAAAGTGGTTCTAAAAATAATTTTTAACAACGCGTTTAGACTTTCTTTTCAACCATCGGGATTTGCCGAAGATTTTTCTCAACCAACTAGTTATCCGCTGGCGACGACTCTGACTCGCCTTGCTCTACGGTGTTACCTTCAGAAATTCCTATAATCTCCACAGATCTTGGTGAAGTTGCATTAAGATCACTCTGATCAGCGAGATCGGGCTGAGCAGCCACTTGACCCTCGGGATCCGGCCTCGCTTCATTGTCATCCGGCTGGCTGACTTGTCCTTCAGCTCCTCCGCTACCACTTGCAGCTCCGCTGCTGGTGCTATTTATGCCAGTTGAAGAAATCTCGACCAGAGGCTGGCCAACTGTTTGCGTAGGCATCTGGTTGTCAGAAGAGACAGTGGCTGTTTCACCTGAAGATTTAGCTCCAGAGGAGCCATCTGCAACGGCTGATCCATCTTGAAGGCCTGTCTTCTTTGTAGAATCTGTTGGAACTGCAGCCTTACCTTGTTTGCTCGACAATTCGCCGGCACGGGAGAGCGTTAAGCTATTCCCAGACCCCATGGAAGACTTTGAAAGCAGTTTCGATAATTGGGCCTTTTCATTGGCTAGGGCCAACCGACGGATATTGCTGATACATCCAGCAGAAGCCTCCTGAAGAAGTACATCCTTAAACGTGAAGGCAAACAAATGTATTCAAAAAGAAAATAAAGTGAGTGGATTTCAAATTGATGTTTGTTTGTAGGGGATTCTGCAATAAAATATGTCCTAATGTTCTAGTTGCAAATAGATAGTCAAAATCAGGAAGCCAGAATGTTTTTAAAACTCTAATTTTTAAGAAAATACAAAATTAGTTATTACGCTCATATTAATCGGAAACCAAATGATTTAATTTCAATATTATCCATTTTTTAATTTTTCATATGTATCTTTTTATATAGGACTTTCATAAAATAGTCTTGTTTTACAAATAATATGATATCATATATGTCTTTTTTTGCGAGCCAAGATATTTATATTATAGTATAAACCTAGCTTAAACGCACTCAATTCGATTTACATACATAATGAATCGATAGACTAGTAAAAGTGTGATCAAATATCTCTGATTATATCCCTGAGTACTGATCAATATATTTAATTGGTACTCATTCATGCATTTATCACTTTCGAATGCCTTGACGACTTTCAAATTTATTTCAAATAGGCAACTTATTTTGATAGGGTTTAATTTATGAGCATCTATCATGTATGCTAAGATGACAAGTTGATTAGGTCCCCTATTTTTTTAATCTAGTCATATTGAGTTGTCCTTTAAAAAAATTACGTTTCAATGAATATGATATTTGCTACTAATACTTATATTTAGCCAAAGGCTGGTAATAACCAGTTTTTATATTTTCGGAAGCCTTTTAGGCAGGCCCACATTTAAAAGCCTAATCGTCAGTATTTTGGGGCTGAATGACTGTAATTCCCTTATAGTTCCTATTGTGCGATGCGAGTAGATCCAATTATGATGATAAAGAAGACATACGCAATAATGTAAGTAAAATTAGAATGATATGTCAACTAGTTTTGAAAATTCGATTCATTAATTCTTAATTGAGACTTATCCACCAGTTAGTCTCTAATGCGATTTCGATGCTTTCTAAAGTTGCACTCTTAGAATTATCATTATTTCTCAGACAAGTTATCACATTCTAATTAATTTCAAAAAAAGTTATCGAGAAGCTTCTAGGTGAAAATTTAAAAAAATATTATTTATGATTTTCCAAAACAGCAGCATAGATTATCTTTCCCAGTAAAGATATTTGGCCCTGACAGTAACATTATTTAAGCTAGTACTTTGCATTTTAAGTTATTTACAGAAACATACTCTAAAGTATAGAATATAAATGCCTTACTAATTGCTTAGCTGAGGATCTGTGTTACATTGCTTCTCAGGGTGATTGAGGAATGATTGCAATTAATTATACCTCTAGAATAAATACCAACAGCGCGAAGAAGACAATGACTTCCAAGGTTTTGATCCATCGGTATTTTGTTAAGGAACACACTTAGATCATGAAGCTAAAGGTCGCATAATTTTCTATCTTCTTAATATCAAAATTTGCTTTGCTTTGAGAAATAGCCTCTCCTAACCGTCTTAATTCATTCTCATTAAATGGACTAAAGTTATTACAGATAAAATACAATGATCACGACCGAAGTCTTGTAGGATTTCACACTTATCTGGAGAAAAGTAGACCTGTTTCAAAACTGTTTCAATGATTGTGGGATATCTACTAGGAAAAAGTAAGGCTAACTGTTATTTTTTTACATTTTTTCCACTTTCAGTAAGGAAATCTTTCAGACAGTTACGATCATTTACTTGTTTAATATACCATAGGAGGATTTGTAAGATCAATCGCTTCTCTTCTGCCAAAAGAAAATAATGCAACTGCTCCGTTTTAATCAAATTTACCCTAAACTGGAGTGCCTTGGGGGCTATATTTGATCTTTAAACTGGCTTTCGATTACCATGGGTTATAATCTCCAAGGTGCAGACTAGCTCGCTAAAAGTGACTTTTGTGAATTTACCCCCATATTAGAAGTTATCTTGCCTTGTCTTCGCAACTTTGTCATATTGGCAGGAAGGCCTAGAGGAACACAAATAGTCCGGAGTGGATAGTATGCATGATAATTCCCAGAGTAGGCACGTGAATGCGGTAGATTCCCAGACGTCTCGCCAGCATCGTAGTTGGAACCGTCAGCAAGCTTTACCAGTCTTAGCACAACAACACAACTCGTTAAAGGGACAAGTAAAGTCGATCCCTTGACAAATTGTCAGCTAAAAGATTGTTGTATCTCTCCAATCGCCCTGGACTATTCACCAATCCTTTATCCTCACTTTACCCATTCACTATCACAATTTCTTATTTAAATGTGGCATGGATTTCATGAGAATTCTCCAAATCTCACGCTGGGTTTCTCGCCCCCTCATCCCGCAATCCTCTTTCCATAGGACTTATCACTTTCCCTCTTGCCCCGTAGGATCCGCTTCCTACCTTCTCGGTTCAGGTAGTTCACTCGAGCCCTGCCAACCTAAATGTACCACTCGAAGCCTTAATTCCTACATTGTCTCAAGACTTTGATGTCACGTATACTAGCGTCTAGCTGAGTAGGCCTTTAAAAATAAGGATTATCAAGTTAGGTGAGACATTAACTTGAGGCTAAAGATCCCGAATAATTTTCATGGTCAAGCCTTTGCTTTATAGACCACCTCTATGATCAAACACTCCTACTGTTAGCCAATTAGCTATAGTCTCCGCCACATCTATCCTGCTCCTATCCATAGTGCCGAACCTATGCCCGTCTATGCCCTACTCTCTGGTATGGCAGCCCACACATGATATGATTTATAATTGTTTTGATTAGTTCCAATGTTAAAAGGTGCTTTACATACGGGTTCAGATTACATCTGCAGCCATGAAAAAGGTAGATTTCTTAGGGGTAAAAATAAAACTTGAGTGTATTCAGGATGTTGAATTAGAGCCATTCATAAATATGCCCCAGGAATTAATTAGAAGAAAATTATTAACGTGAAGACTTTAATTCAGTAGAAGAGAGCGTCCAATCTAGCTTACTAATCTTAATTTACTACTTTTTCTGATTTTAACGGAAAACCATGGAAAGATGAGGTTTAGTTTGAAAGATTAAGAGGCAAAGAGTCTAATCCACATGACTTATGGCCTCGAGGCATATTATTGCATGTTAGTTCAAATTTTCGAAAGCAAACTAGGCTTCGCTTAAAACGCAAATCACATAGTATCGTAGGCTATATAATGCTTGCCTCATACTGAACCTCCATTGCAAGAAACTAGTTGGTATGCCGTTGTGAA